TCCTAAAACCTATGTTTTTATGTTCACCTATGTTCACTTATCAAGGAAATCTTTTATTTCATTCATTCTCTATGTAAGCATTTATAGGGCCAATTTCATCCCCATCCCCACTCTTTGCGTTAAATATATATTTCTGTTTAGTACTGTAATAAGAATACCGGAGCAAAACGTTCTTCCTTGGAAGAAAAATTCCGTATATGTTGCCGATTGCAAAGGGGAGAGTCAAACAGTCACAGGCGGATTTACGGGGGGGAGGGGAGCTTTCGGGTTGAAGCCTCCCCAAAACTAAATCCTGGGGCCGCCAGTGGCCTTACTCAAGATTTAAATGTAATCTTCCAATTTGAAAAAAATGTAAATTTATTCCAGACAGCAAGCTAAATGTTGAATCTTTTAAATTCTTCTCAATATTTCGCTATAAGAGTTAAGATAAATTTTACTCGAAAAAAATAATAAATAACTAAAATAAATTTGCGATCATCGTGATGTACCTCAAACTAGTATTTAGCGAATATAGATACAAAGATTCAGATCTTGGCTTATGTTTTTTAAAAAATAGCTGTGAAGCTACCAGTGTTCCCCTTCAGTTAACCAACAAATGGAATTAGGTTTAGCCGACAGTTCGCGAAAATTATCATGACGCTGATATATACCTGACATATTAAGCGTGGTGAAACGCAATTTGTTAAGAAATTGACGTCCAATTGGACTCAATATTTTCAGATCAAAACATTTTCTAATGTTTGTTTAGAGACATATATATGTATATATATATGTATATATATATATATATATATATATATATATATATATATATATATATATATATATATATATAACAGATTATAAATAGTGTTGGTACGTTTTCTTTTCAAAAAAGTACTGTTTTAAGTCCATCATGCTTAAATTTTAATCATTACCATTATTTTATTTGAATATAACGACCAGAGCTGTTATTGAGATTAACTAGCAGATCCAGGATTTCATTTTGGGAGGATTTAGATAACATCTTTAGCCTGAAATAATTTTTTTTATTTTAACGATAATTATTTTGGAAGAAAATGAAAGAAACTAGTTTCCTATACGAGGTGATGTTTAACTGATTTTTGAAGTCCTATTAAATGTAATTACACGAACAATAGTAATACTTTTAGAGATTATTTTTAATATTTTTTTCATGAGACATGGTAAAATTTTACCATTTTGAGGGAGAGGGGCTTCAACCCGAAAGCATATATGGAGCATAGATATAGCAACAGTGATTGTTTATAACCACGAACTGTACCCCTTCAAGGTCGTCATAAACGATATCCACTGTATATTTATTTCTAATCTGAAAAGATATTTACGTACTAAAAAATTCCCTGACTTCAACCGAATTCCCCAAACACCTTTCTCTTACATTTACCTCTCATCCAGAATCCAACCCGATCCAAAAGTCAGCATTAGAGAAATTCCTTAATTCACCCCTCCCACTCTCCTTACCGCCTAAAGCAGTTAATCCTTCTGAGGTCAAATATCACTTACAAAAACTACCTACCCCTAAATCACCTGGATACGACCTCCTTACATCTCAAATCCTTCGACAACTCCCTCCTAAAGCTGTTCTATTCCTCACATACATGTACAATAGCATCCTACGAACCACCCACTTCCCTCTTTTATGAAAACATTCTACTATTATCCTATTTCCAAAACCAGGCAAACCTCCCAACAGCGTAAATTCCTACAGACCCGACCCATTAGTCTACTTTCAAAAATTCTTGAAAAGATCCTCCTGAAACGAATAATACCCTTTATAGAATCTCAAAATCTTCCTTCACATCAGTCCGCATTCCGTTCGCAACACTCCACAGTCCAACAAGGACTTCGAGAGGTCGATCATATTTCCACAACCCTAGAAAACAAGCTATATAGTTTGGGTGCATTTCTGGACACTGTTCAATCTTTTCATCGGGTATGGCACGCCAGGCTTCTTTTCAAACTTAAAACCCATCTGCCTCAGTCTTTATACCTTGTTCTCCGCTCCTACCTTTCTTACCTTCCGAGTTCGCTGTGGCACTGAATTTTCCAATTGCTATCCTATTGAAGCTGGTGTTCATCAAGGTAGCGTTTTGGGTCCTGTCCTTTACATCCTCCTTACTGCTGATACCACTGTCCTTCCCGACACTTTCCTGGCAACATTTGCAAATGAAACCGCCATTCTATCATCCGACCCAGATCCTGATATAGCATCCTTAAGCCTTCAAAGACACCTGATGTAGCACTGGTGTAATAAATGGCGCATTAAAATAATGAATCCAAATGCCAAGATATTACGTTCACACGTCGACGCAATTCCTGTCCACCAGTACACTTTAATTCCATCCAGCTTCCTTTCTCAGACACAGTCCGGTATCTTCGCTTTCGCTTAGACAAACGTCAAACGTGGAACCCTCATACAAGACTTAAAAGACAAGAACTCAACCGACTAAATGGCCAACTATACAGACTACTAAATAGAAAATCTAAATTTTCTATCGAAAACAAACTACTGATTTACAAGACAATACTGAAATCTATTTGGGCTTACGTACTTGAACTGTGGGGAACAGCAAAACTTTCTAACATCAAAAGCATCCATTCCTTCCAGTCCAAAATCCTTCAAACAATAGTCGATGCTCCTTTCCATGTAACCAACAAGATACTACACCATGACCAACAAGACCTTAATATCCCCTTTGTCCCAGACCTTATCCCAGAAAAATTCTCCAAATTTCACCAGAACCTTACCTATCATCTAAGTAATTTTGAGCAGATTTTATGTTCATTTATATATATATATATATATATATATATATATATATATATATATATATATATATTGTTTATTTTTTAATGGTTACATACTACTTTTTAAATAAAGTATATAATGTTAGAATTTTTATAAGTTAGTTTTTGGCCATATTTGTATTTTATTATATTAAATCATCATTGTTATTCTAAGGGGACTTAGTCCCAGAATAAAGTTCAATTTTCTATTCTATTCTATTCTATCATCCGAATCCCCTTGCACAATTCCTATACAGCACCACCCATCCCTATAATCCTCCAAGAAGGCTAAAACGGCAGTGGCCTCGCGACCTTTTATAGTTTGTATATATTGGGGTTCTGGAAATGGACAATTGTATGTGTATGTGGCTAAAGCTCTCTCGCTTAATCTACACTGGGTTTAACCCCAGTGACGCGGTTGAGAGAGTAGTGCAGGGATCTCCTGGAGTCATGCTTTTCCCTCCACAGTTGGAGGGACAAGTCTGGTTCAGAGCTCCCTCACCTGATTGTTAATAGTGTATATAAGTATTTGTGTGTTTTTATTTATTTATTGTACATAGAGTGTGATGATCTCCGAACACTATTATAAATGTTCTTTGAGACGGATTGTAATATTTCTCTATAAACAAGGTCTGATTTTTTTCAGACAGATGTAAAAGAAGATCAGTTTCTATGATGCGTCGATTGACATCATCTATGATAAAGTTACCCGCAAGAGGTCGTCGTAAATCAGTTAATGTTGAAGTTCTTCTTAACTTCTTCATAGGCTTTAATGTCAGTGCCGTTTGCCGCATAGAGAATGAAGTACATTAAAAACTTGTCTACTGTGCTCTTTCCACTACAAATAGTCAGTAGTGAGGGATGTAAGCGACAGAGCCCCCATCCCAGTCGCTGAAATTAGTTTACCACCCCATGGGTTTCCAGGAACAGGGTTCTTAACACTTTTTTGCGTTTTCCCATATCTATAATTTATTAATCTGTTATGAAAATAATAAGGATTTCTATCACGACTCTTGGACGACTGTTGTCTTCCTCTGCTCTAAGATGAATTCCTCTCTTGCCATAGAGAAACCTTGCACTTAAGCTCACTAATGTCTAAGGTTAGTTTCTGCATCATTTCCTTGAGCTGCGAGATTCGCTGATGTGTACTGTCGATGGTGTGTGTGATTGAAACTAGGCTTACACTTGGCTTCTCTATATAATCTTCTTGGTTTCTTCTTGTTGCGACACCATGCGGATAATTCAATTACTGTATTAATAACAGTATTATTAGAATTGGTAATCCCACAGCTTGAAATTAAGAGAGACAATTCTTAAACAGTCAGGTTATACCGTTACAACACGGTCAGTTGAAAATAAGTGAACGACTTCGCAGGTACAAGAGCATTCATCCATGATTCATTACAGGTGAAAGTCCGACTTTGTAAAGTTTCATTTGGATTACTATCCTTATTTTTAAATTAACATGTCAATGAATCTTATATGGATCAACCTCTAGTCAATACACATATTCCTACCGCCGATATAGCAGCCTTGGACTTATATTTCTTTCCCCTGTGGTCCATATACTGTCACATGGAATATTCTTCTTATCGATAAATAAACGTGTAAATTTATCATAATTGCACCTTTTTGCAGGTCCAAATTATTTGTTGTTCATGCTTACTTTAATTTGGTTGTGTAGTGTATATAATTTAAAGAAAAGAAGAAGAAGTATCAATTCTTTAATATTCTATTCTAGAATAAATACTATATTGTATAATAAATAAACTGTAAAACTCAATTAACTTACTCAAACTGAGAATTACTACACAAAAAATTAAATGGATCCGTTTTAATAGGGAGCATACAAATTATGCTTTATGTTTTATTACTAATAAAGATGTGTTTTTTCTTTATTTTATCTTCCAAGAAAAAAAATATAGGTCTATCAGCTTTTGAAGCTGGCTGATACCTATAAGCAGTCAATGAGGCCGTTAATAACTTTGGTATAGATTGATCTCTAAAAAAAATTAATCAGAAAAAAAAGGTGGAATTTGAGCAGTTAACAGTATGAGTAATAGGATCGATAATTTAAAAACAGAACAAATAAATATATTTCATCAGAAGATTTATTAGGTCATCCATAAACAGTTATTTAAACAATTCATAGCAGCAACTTTAAAAAATAAATATAGATTGACACCGCTTACCTTAAGTAATGCAATGCATATTCTTTTAGCAGTTGGATTATTGATGTGTATTCTTTTCTCCAATAAATTACTTCCATAGGCAAAATATTTGAAGGTAGAAGACATCTGTTATACTTGATATTAACAATTATTATCAGCAACTAAAATAAAGTAAGTTATTTTGTTTTATAGATTATTTATATTCATTTTAAATTTGTATAATTCACACTATCACAAGAAAGAATTTTGACAATTTCATTCAGGTGGTGTTACACCTTTATCATCCAGATCTACTATTTAAAATAATGAATTAATAATTTATAAATTGGACTAATATTTGTCCTTAAAAAAAAAACTAAAAATGTTTTAAAAACAATTTTAGTAAATCACATCATATCTAACGTTTTGACATTCATTATAAAACAAAAATCATATATTTTTTAAATTATCAAATTATTTCATAGTTTATATTTAATCATTTTTCTTTCAGGTTATAATGCGATGTGATTAATTATTTCAAATAAACAAAATCAGAGGTGCTTTAGCGGAAGAAATTTGCCATTTAAGCCCTGTGAGGCCACATTAGTGAGGATAAGACCTACCTATATCTAAAGGATATATTAGCGATAAATGAGTTTTACTAAACAACCCATCACCTATTCATTATGATGTAAAGATGGTTGACCGTGATATAATATGAGAAGGAGTTGGTCGGGGGGTGCGGTCAAATAAATATTAAAAAATAGTATTTTTAATTAATTAATTAAAAATACTATTTTTTAAAATTTAGTATTTATTAGACCGCACCCCCGACCAACACTTTCTCAACTATTCATTATATGTAGTTCAGATTAGGTATATATTATTTTAATTTATTAAACAGGTATTAATATGACTCATTTCCGGGGAAGTATATACAATTTACCTACGCCAGAAGTGCTTTTCTGCCGCTTAAATGCATTTTCTATGGATACAAATATTGTAAAAAGTAATCACTGTTTTAGAAAGAGAAACATATTCTCCAGATGTATTATGTAGGCACGTTTTGCGTTATAGTTGGCGGTTCAATTACAAATGACGCTTGATTTTCAACATGAAATTTTTTTGGTTAAAAAATTGACTTTACTGGTGTGTTTTAGTGCCTAAGGCAATTATTTTTTAATATTTTTTCATGTTTTATTATTCTCTGACTATCCAGCTTTAATAAAAGACCAACTATGATAAAATTAAGCCAAATGCTGATTCTCAGTGACCAAAAAGCTAATTAAAGACAATGTCGTCATTCCGCTATGTTTAGACGCCATTTTGAGGCAGTGCGTTCACTTTTTTTTTTTGTGGGAACATTGGCTGTTTTTTAATAAATAGTCACGAGGAACACAACGATATGCAATTTATAGGGATGGGGAGGAGGTGCACAGTAGGAGGGTCTTGCCCACCGTGTATTTTACGTATGACGAAACTATAGTTTTCATAACTCGGTAATTCGTTTCAATAGGGTTCGCTTGCAAATGATAATAAGGCGTGTTCCAAATTTTTATTCCATAACCATCTAACATTTGGTGGCACTCTTTACTCCTGTGCTGTGGGGCGTTATCTCAAATTACCACTTGTGGAGCACCAAATGTCAAAATTACTTCTCTCTCTAAAAAATCCGCCACCTTTTTGGATGTAGCCGACCGTACTGGTTAGAAAAAAAATACTCCGTGAAGAGATCAGAGAACCCAACAATAAACCTGTTTTAGGACGAGGACATATGTAAAGGGCCCATGATGTCGGCAGCAACTATTTGCCATGGTCTGGTTACGACTCTTTCTTTTCCCATCAATCCAGAAGGCTCACGTAGTACAGGCTTCTGTGGAAAACACGTTTGATACCTAGCTACATATATTGTAGTGTCGGCGGACATTCCCAGCCAGTAGTGTCTCTCTTGTAGTCCTTGTAACGTGTTAAATGCACCGAGGTGTCCTGAAATTGGACTGTTGTGATGGTCGAACAAAACCTTATTCCAACTACTCTTAGGCACCACTAGTTAACAAGGTCCTTCATCTGATAAAATTTTCTTCCGATCAGGCAGTCTTTTTTCAAGCTTCCAGCCATCTATACGCCAGTTGGGAAACTTTTCCGGACTCTTCTTCATTCTATCCAACATCTTGATGTACCGTGGATCCAACTGCTCATATTGAATACCCAGTATAGCTATTGAATCCTCGTGAAGCCGAAAAACCGCGACTGCTGAAGCATTCTGTTTACCTGGCCTGTGCAAAATGGTAAACCGATATTGCTGAAGTTTAATGGCCAACCTTGCCAATCTTCCTTGTGGGTCCTTCAGCCACTTCAATGCTTGATGGTACGTTATAACGGTGAACTCCATGCTCTCAAAGTAAGGTCTAAACTTTTCTACCGCCCATAGGACCGCTAAATACACTTGTTCAATCGTACTGTATTTTCTTTCTGGAGCAGTAAGACTACGGCTGGCATACGGTATGGCTTTATCACTATCATCGAAATTTTGATAGAGAATAGCTCCCAGTCCGGTCCAGGAAGCGTCTGTTTGTAAGAAGAATGGTTTATTGAAGTCTCGGCAAGTCAATATTGGAGCACTCACCAACTTCTCTATTAAAAAGTCCATTGCCTGTTCCTACTCTGGTTCCCATTTTCTTCAGGAGTCATGTCAATGGGACGTCCTTATTCAATTTTACCCCGATTAAAGCCAGTATCTTCACCCTTAGATGTGGCAGTTTATCTGTGATCTTCAGGAAATGATAAAGTGGCATCAATGACTCTCCATTAATTATTGATTTGACTACCCATTCTCGCCATTCTGATTCAGTTATGAACTTGTATCGGTTGCCAGGGTCTCGTTCACTTAGGCCTGGTCCCGTGACAAGTTTCCTGCTTAACTGGCACATTTGGGACAGTTATGCCTAATAACTTCCTTCTGCTCAAAACCTTTACATAACACTGTCTTCCGCGCCCAACAATATCGAAAAGAGTGTCCGGGTGTCAAGCAATTCCAACATATAAATTTTCGAGAAGGAAACGTTTTTTCTCTGCTAATTATAACCTCATTCACTCTGCTAATATTTTGCTTGCGATGCATAGATACGAATCCCAGATCTAGTTCTAAAAGGCCTCTGACAGGGGGTGGGGGACGATGCCAATCTACTCCCCATTTCGCATCCTACCTAAATTCACCAGTGTCCCGAAAGAATCAATCTCATCCAAACACAACCGTTCAATATAAAACGAATATAAGTTCACAATACATACAAACCCCCTCAAACAACATAACTATATTTAATTAACTTCTACCCCCTAAAACCATATCCAACACAAAACACCTCCCCCCACCCCCTCCCCTAATATTTCCCAAACCCCCTTCCCACCCCCAACCCCCTTAACAATACCAACCCATCCCCATAACACCATCCCCCCCCCACACCCCACAACCCACAAACAACAAACCCCCCACTACCCCACCCACTACTCCCAAAAAAAACTCATCCCCCCATCCCCCCACCACATTTATTCCAAAAAAATACATCCCCTCCACCATTCTCCCCCTACACCCCCACACCTTTCACACCCCACACTTACCCTATTCCACATCCCATTACCCCCAACCTCCTTAAACCACCACACCCCTCACCCCAACTTCCTTAACACACCCTCACCCCCCAACTTCAAACAATAACCCCCCCCCATTAACTTCCTTTTCAACCCCAAAACTAAACTATCTTCTTTTTTTCACATTTCCCACTTTTTTTTCCCAAATTTACCCTTCAACCTCCCTTTTCTCTTCCATCCTACCCACTCCTTTCCCCCCCATACCTACCAATCCCTTCCTCTTCACTACTTTACCCACACCTCAACAACTTCTCTTCTAATTCTTCTCCAAATCTTTACCCCCTCATCCCCCCTTTTCCACCATCCTACAACTCCCTACCCCCACCACTACCCTCCCCATCCCCACCTCATTCCCTTACTTTACCCCATCTCCCAACAATCCTTCTTTTATTTCATTCCCCACATCTTTACCCCCTTCACCCTCCCCCCTCTTATATCCTTATTACCCTACCACTCCCCTATTATTAACCTTATTAATTCTTACAAACCCTTCCTCTATCATAATAACCCCCAAACCCCCAACCTCCCCATCATAACTACCCCTCCCACCATTCTCAACCACCAATTCCATATCCACTTATCTCCATTCACCCAAAACAACACAACCATCCCCCCTCCTCCCCATTCACTTCCTCCTCTTTCCCTCCATTTCCCTCCCTCTTTCACCCATCCTTCTCAATTCACTTCCCTCTCTCCTCTATCAAAATTAATATAATTTCCACATCACCCACACCCTAATACTCCCCCCCCCCCCAACCCCCCCCCCCCAACAACAAAAATCAACATCTTCCCAAACTCAAATCAATCACCTTCCAAAAACCAAACATACAAATAAACAACCACCCCTACGGAATTACATTTTCGTTGACTAAATTTTATATTTTATGTTTTCCTTCATTATTAAAGTCTGGAAAATTGTGTAAATGTATTGTTCTTCTCAATAGAGATATTATCATTAATTATGAACTCTGGATTTACATTAACTCTGGCTATTGAATAAATATTCCTATCCTTGTTCCTCCTGTCCGTTTACCAAGCCACCCCTCCTTCGTCCACGAGTAATATCCTTTTAACCTGCCATGTCAAGGCTCAGTCACTCTTAGCCCATTTTGACGAATTTTATGACTTTTTTCTCCATAACTTCTACCATTTAATTGCTGTATCCGAAACCTGGTTGGAACCAACAATCCCGTCTTCCCAGAGTAGACCGTACGGGTGGTGGAGTAGACCTTTTTGTCCATGACAGCATTAAATCCGAAATCCTTCATTGCTCTTCCTTGACCGATTCACCGCACATTGAATATCTCTTTGCCGAAATCCTCACAACTTCATCTACCATTCTGTTTGCTGTCATATATCGCCCTCCTAGAATTCCTTTTGATGAATTATTTGAGACTTCTCTGTACAATTTAATCCCTTTCTACTCAAATGTCATCATCTCCGGAGACTTAGATACAAATTTACTAATGCCATCCTCTGATTATTCCTACGTAACAAGCCTCCTCCATTCTCTCAGCCTATACATAGTACCCTA